CAGGACTCAAACCCTGACCTTTTGTCAGCAGGACTCAAACCCTGACCTTTTGTCAGCAGTAGTCAAACACTGACCTTTTGTCAGCAGGAGTCAAACCCTGACCTTTTGTTAGCAGGACTCAAACACTGACCTTTGGTCAGCAGGAGATGTGACCAGTCTAAATCTATGTATGACTGGCTGGTCACATCTTCTACTGATCAAAGGTCGGGGTTTTGAGAGCAGCCTAATAAGACATTAGTGACTGTACTGACCTCTAGTTCCTGTCGGGACATGTAGGGGTGTGAGATCGGATCATCCAGACAGGAAGCATGCCGTACACTGTAGGTGGCGCCGTCACATTCAAGGGTGCAATCGTTCCGCAGGTTAATCAATGCCAGGAAGGTGTGTCCAGCCTTTTTGGTCAGCAGGTGGTTAGATACTTTTGTCACGCCCTGACACAGAAACAACACATATTGTAGTCAGTTGTGATTGTTAGTAGCCCATTCTTCATTCTATAGTTGATAAAAATGCTCCTAAATTCTATTATGTAAATTAATCGATAATTTTTTCAATTTTTGCAAACTTGAAATTTACCAAAATTTTGCTTTTATCTTTGCATGCTAATTTTTGCTAATAAACATAACAATTAAGATTTAATTAATCTGTTGAGTTATATCTAATGGTAAAGTAAGGCTGCATTTAAAACCTAACTTTGATGTTATCTGACAGTATATAGATTTAACTTACATCCCTGGCAGGCTGAGCCATGCCATACACCGACATTCCACTGATGTTGATCTTCCTAAAGTTAGACACCCTCACATCACTCTGTGTGCTCAGGAGGTCCAGCCCTACATAGTCGTCTGCCACCTGTACATAGCAATACATCCACTTGATATCAACAACTAAACCTGATACTTAATAATCGTATCTGATGTTTATTTATCCCCCTGATACTTAATCATTACAGCTGTTGTTTAATTATCAACTCTGTGTGTGTCTTCTAACTGCCTTTGTGTCACTCCTACTACAGGGTATATCTCCTACCCATGTGTGTGATTTTTACTTATATGTGCCTCCTACCTCTGTGTTTGTCTCCTATTCCTGTGTGTCTCCAACCCTGTCTGTATCTCCAATTATTGTATGTTTCTCATATCCCTTTGTGTGTCTCTTACCTCTGTATGTCTTCTACCCATGTGTGTCTCTCTAACCCCTATGTATCTCCTATCCTGTGAGTGTTTCCTATAACCTTGTGTATCTCCTATCCTCTGTGTGTCTCCTATCCTCTGTGTGTCTCCTACTCCTGTGTGTCTCCTATCCTGTGTGTCTCCTATCCTCTGTGTGTCTCCTACTCCTGTGCTTCTCCTATCCTCTGTGTGTCTCCTACTCTTGTGTGTCTCCTATCCTCTGTGTGTCTCCTACTCTTGTGTGTCTCCTATCCTCTGTGTGTCTTCTACTCCTATGTGTCTTCTATCCTCTGTGTGTTTCCTATACTGTGTGTCTCTATCCTCTGCATGTCTCCTATCCTCTGTGTGTCTCCTATCCCCTGTGTGTCTCCTACTCCTGTGTGTCTCCTATCCTCTGCGTAAGTAACCATACTTTGGGATTTTTTGGCACCACCTTATAGCTATGTGACTTACCTATATATCCTTGAATACAACTTACACAACAACTGGAGTTTGATATTTTTATTAAGCTTGGTTTGCACAGCAAAGGGGGTCAAGCTGCCCTGGCCTCACATGCCTTGCAGGTCAAGAAGGGGACATGTATCCCCTTATCAAGTAGTAAGATGGGGGTGCTGTAAAGGGACTCATCTCTGTATCAGACACAGTGGGGAATTCAAGGAGTAGACACATCAAATTCCCTTCTATTCCCTCCTCAAGGTGAGTCACTTAAACAGCATTCCTACAGCAAACACTCTCCCCTCCCCCAAATTTCTTTCCAAATTTGCAGCTGACTTGTTTGGTATCAGGCCCTTCACATACATGGTAGTCAGATAGGTCTGATCAATCTCCATACATTGAATGGTCAGGTGACTTACTCTGTATCTCCATCACTTTTTAGTCAGAGTCAGTTGTCTAAAATGTAGCAGAGTGTACAGTCGTATTTTTGACAGATCTTCAATTGTCAGGCCTCTTCCAGAGACTCCACAGATTAAACTTCCCAATTTAGCATCATAATTAGGGGCTGTAAATGAAAGAATATGTCTGATGATCCAGACAGTGTTTGGTATACAAATCATTCCAATACCTGGACTACAGTTGAGCTCTGGATAAGTTGAAAGAAGTGAACATTGTCTCCCCGAGAAGTTTCACTAAAGCTCAGCTCCTTCACTTGAACAAGGAGAATGTTGACACTATAGACGCAATTCCTAACTCTCGTAGTGACTTACGCTCGTCCATGATGCAACATGATGAAAGTGTAAGTAGAGAAGATGATGAACACTCGCGCTTCTCTGACCCCAGTATCACACCACGCTTGTCTGCAGACTTTATGGCCTTGCAGCAGCATGTCATGAGGCTGGAGCTACAGATATTTAGTCATTGAAAACTATGACACCTTTAGGTGAAAACATTTATTTGACATGTTATGTATGGAGTCTGTTCATCTTACCTGAAAATAAACAGTTCCATGTTTTGCTTAATATGCAATCTATAGCTCACGTAAGTCAGTAACTAGTGCCTAACAAATGAGTGAGAAGATGGTCTGCTAAAATCTGGATGTTGTGACGACATATATTTGGCATTGTGATACATTAGTTTGTTTATTTTGGCTCATTACTTCAAGCACCTAATAAACAAAAATAAAACCACATCCAAAATATCCCAAAGTACAGTAGAGATTAAAATTTGTGTGCGAGAAAGACATGAAGATAGGTCTATCCTACCTCTGTGTATGATAACAGTACCCAATGTACAATCTTACATCTCATTTCACATTTGATATTGAGAAGACAGGGTCTGTACTCACATAAATAATATCATGTTCAAACTCTGATTGTATATGTTAAACCCCGATTCCTTATTCCGATGATACGTTATTCAAATTTTGCTTTTTTTAACAATTATGAATAACATTGGAAAGATATGAAGTTAAATACCATTTTAATGTCTACACTTTATAGTTTGACTGTGTTGAATGATTTGAAAGAGTTAATAAAAAGTTGGTTTGAGTATACTTGAATACTTCGTACTGTTTTAAAGACAATGAGTCCAGATGATTACTTACCAGGTACTGTACACCCTTAAAGCTTAGGTCAGTAGGGGACTGACAGGTGGGGTCAGAGATAGTCCCCATCCTTACTTACCAGGTACTGTACACCCTTAAAGCTTAGGTCAGTAGGTGACTGACATGTGGGGTCAGAGATAGTCCCCATCCAGGTACTGTACACCCTTAAAGCTTAGGTCAGTAGGTGACTGACATGTGGGGTCAGAGATAGTCCCCATCCAGGTACTGTACACCCTTAAAGATGAGTTCAGTAGGGGTCTGACAGGTGGGGTCAGCGATAGTCCCCATCCTTAGTTACCAGGTACTGTACACCCTTAAAGATAAGGTCATTAGGGGTCTGACAGGGAAGGTCAGCGATACTCCCCATCCTTACTTACCAGGTACTGTACACCCTTAAAGATAAGGTCAGTAGGGGCCTCACAGGTGGGGTCAGAGATAGTCCCAATCCCTACTTACCAGGTACTGTACACCCTTAAAGATGAGGTCAGTAGGGGTCTGCCAGGTAGGGTCAGCGATAGTCCCCATCTTTACTTACCAGGTACTGTACACCCTTAAAGATGAGGTCAGTAGGGGCCTGACAGGTAGGGTCAGAGATAGTCCTCATCTTTACTTACCAGGTACTGTACACCCTTAAAGATAAGGTCAGTAGGGGTCTGACAGGGAAGGTCTGCGATAGTCCCCATCCTTACTTACCAGGTACTGTACACCTTTAAAGATGAGGTCAGTAGGGGTCTGCCAGGTGGGGTCAGAGATAGTACCCTTAAAGATAAGGTCAGTAGGGGCCTGACAGGTAGGGTCAGAGATAGTCCCCACCTTTACTTACCAAGTACTGTACACCCTTAAAGATAAGGTCAGTAGGGGCCTGACAGGTAGGGTCAGAGATGGTCCCCATCCTTACTTACCAGGTACTGTACACCCTTAAAGATGAGGTCAGTAGGGGTCTGACAGGTAGGGTCAGAGATAGTCCCCATCCTTACTTACCAGGTACTGTACACCCTTAAAGATGAGGTCAGTAGGGGTCTGACAGGTGGGGTCAGAGATAGTCCCCATCCTTACTTACCAGGTACTGTACACCCTTAAAGATGAGGTCAGTAGGGGTCTGACAGGTGGGGTCAGAGATAGTCCCCATCCTTACTTACCAGGTACTGTACACCCTTAAAGATGAGGTCAGTAGGGGTCTGACAGGTGGGGTCAGAGATAGTCCCCATCCTTACTTACCAGGTACTGTACACCCTTAAAGATGAGGTCAGTAGGGGTCTGACAGGTGGGGTCAGAGATAGTCCCCATCCTTACTTACCAGGTACTGTACACCCTTAAAGATGAGGTCAGTAGGGGTCTGACAGGTGGGGTCAGAGATAGTCCCCATCCTTACTTACCAGGTACTGTACACCCTTAAAGATGAGGTCAGTAGGGGTCTGACAGGTGGGGTCAGAGATAGTCCCCATCCTTACTTACCAGGTACTGTACACCCTTAAAGATGAGGTCAGTAGGGGTCTGACAGGTGGGGTCAGAGATAGTCCCCATCCTTACTTACCAGGTACTGTACACCCTTAAAGATGAGGTCAGTAGGGGTCTGACAGGTGGGGTCAGAGATAGTCCCCATCCTTACTTACCAGGTACTGTACACCCTTAAAGATGAGGTCAGTAGGGGTCTGACAGGTGGGGTCAGAGATAGTCCCCATCCTTACTTACCAGGTACTGTACACCCTTAAAGATGAGGTCAGTAGGGGTCTGCCAGATGGGGTCAGAGATAGTCCCCATCCTTACTTATCAGGTACTGTACACCTTTAAAGATGAAGTCAGTAGGGGTCTGCCAGGTAGGGTCAGCGATAGTCCCCATCCTTACTTACCAGGTACTGTACACCCTTAAAGATAAGGTCAGTAGGGGCCTGACAGGTCTGGTCAAAGATAGTCCCCATCCTTGCTGACCAGGAACTGTACACCCTTAAAGATGAAGTCAGTAGGGGTCTGCCAGGTAGGGTCAGCGATAGTCCCCATAAACCTTGTCAGGTCGGGCTGCTGTTGCATCCATTGTGAGAAGTCTGATGTAAATCCCCATCCTTACTTACCAGGTACTGTACACCCTTAAACATGAGGTCAGTAGGGGTCTGCCAGATGGGGTCAGAGATAGTCCCCATCAACCTTGTCAGGTCGGGCTGCTGTTGCATCCATTGTGAGAAGTCTGATGTAAATCCCCATCCTTACTTACCAGGTTCTGTACACCCTTAAAGATGAGGTCAGTAGGGGTCTGCCAGGTGGGGTCAGAGATAGTCCCCATCAACCTTGTCAGGTCGGGCTGCTGTTGCATCCATTGTGAGAAGTCTGATGTAAACCACAGTGGATACTGTAAAAAAAACAAGGTCAAGCTCAAAGGGCAAGGTCACAGTGATACATTGTATTGTTAAAAGTTAAAGTCAAGGTCAAGGTTGATATTGTCTTAAACCTAGGCAATAAGTCACACCAAAAGAAAACCAATCATTGCTAATTGCATAGAACAAATTACATGGCACATCTACAAACCTTTAAGTAGAAAACAAACCAATCTGATATGAAATACTTTCACATAAATGTATGCCAAACCGTCAAGGATGGCTCAAGAAAGGGCAGAGTTATTTCTTATGTGGTTCTTGATGGTATTAGTCTAAATAGGCAATATCAAAAGAATTCATTTATCACAGAAATAAGATTAAGTACGTCTTTTTTCTTTCTTTCTTAATATAGCATAAATAGCATACATACAAATCAATCAAAAAACATATATGCATGATATTACAAATGTGTGCATAGTGCACAATATATGCAAAGTGGACAATAATAGCATGCACACACCTGGGCTCATGATGGATGCATGAAATGAATGATACACAACAGCATTTGTGATTGAAATACAATTTGGCTCATGAATAAAATACGATTTTGCTTTTAAACCTATATACTTCTGGTTTTACCTTTCTGGTTTTAAAGTATGTTGCCATAATTAAACTTTAGGCCTTTTTTTTCTAAATATAGAAATGAATATTTTGAATTCTCTTTTAAACCACCTCAATCAACATACATGTTATGACTTCAGACATTACAGGAAGGTCTCCCTATGGCATGGAGATTTTCATTGTTTATTGTTATCAGAATACATGTATTTAATATTCTTTTACATTGAATATTCATAAATTGAGATGTGTTCATATAATTACTACTAATCCATTGCATCTGAGCAGAGGAATCATTAATGACATTTACAGACATCCTTTTGAAAACTTAGGAAATGGAATTTTAAATATTACAACCAACTGTTAGGAGATTCTGATTCTTTAAAGGGATTTTTCAGTTGATCAAGTTAAAACTTTACGGACTATTAACTAGAGAGACATCACATGTACACACGCATCGGCCACAGTCCAATCCAGATATACAGATCAACGTGTAGTGGCCTTGTACCAAGACAGTTTCCCCTAACCAGCCCAGCCCACTCGCCCAGATACTCACCTGTTCAGTGAGGTATGCGTTGAACACTATGAGGAACACGTAACGTTCTAGGTAGTCACAACACCGCTTGTACAAGGTTTCTTTGGCACTTTTATCCTGTAACAACAATTTATACATCAGATGACGATTCTGAAAGCTGATTGACTAACAAAATCTTCAACATTTTTGTACATTTTATAAGAAGAGGCCTATTTGGCCTGTATCACTCACCTGTAAGTCAATGCTGTTAGTTAACACATCAAACAAACATGACCTTTACTATAGGACAAGGTAAAATAATATATTCAAACAAACATAACAGCAAGGAACCTAATACTACAACCTGTTATCTCAGCTTTACATTGAAAGCTACTTCTCAAAACCTACAGGACCTTTAGAATGAATTTTTACTCCATCTAACCATAGAAGCAGACAAAGGTCCTTTAATCTTACAGACCGTTGATACAACCATGCTACTGANTTTGAAAAAATTCCATCCACTGGTTCTTGAGAAGAAGTTGATTATGTAAAAGTTTACGCACGACGCACGACGCACGATGGACGACGGACGACGACGGACGGAAAGTGATTGGAATAGGTCACTTGAGCAAAGCTCAGGTGACCTAAAAAGATACCATTACCCTAAGGTCCCTTGTTTATGCAGAAAAAGTTGTTCACATTTGAAACTTGTGACCACCTTGAAAGCTATTCAAGGTTATTTATTTCAACAAAAATAAAAGTCCATCATACCAGCATGCATCTGCCAAAATCTATGAGGCTAGGCCTCTTGGTTATTCACAAGTTGTTTATGATTTTGACACATTTGACCCCTCCAACTTTGACGGAGGTCTAGGTCATTCACTTTAATAAACATGATAGTCCTTCACTTAAGCATTCTACAACTCATATATCCTGATATTAAATCCGTTTCCTTTTCTGGTGAAGAAGTATAAAAGTTTTAGCATATTTAACCATTGTAATCTTGAAAGTGGGTCAAGGTCATCTATTTGAACAAATTTGATAACCCTTCATCCAAGCATGCTCATGACCAAATACAAATGCTCTAGGCTAATTGGTTATTCAGAAAAAAATACCATGCCACATCATGGCATAAACTCACATAGCTGTAGGAACTGTAGCTTCAAAGTCAGAACAATTTTATCATTTTGAAATTTTGAATTCAGAAAAAATTTCAAAATCAATCGACAGCTTTTGCATGGTGATGATACATATGTCCATGATGGTCCGATAAATTATTTTATTCACTCAACAATGTTTATATATCATATGTATAGTATTTTTATTCTTTCTTCATTAAAAACATAAATCCTATTGATACTTTGACCAATGCAGGAACAGGCAGTGAAATGATGAACTTGAGACCTTGAGCTGACCTGTTCAGGTGTGAGGATTTGATGTGATTTGTTATGGAGAGTGTGTACTGACTGGTGACATACGCTATGTGCTATAAATAAATGGTTTGACACCACTCCACCATCTGACAAGTCTCTGTAATGGATTGTATTCCAGACAGTGACAGACCTAGACCAGCAGCAAACAGTTCCAAAGCACACAAGCCAGAATCCAGGACGATAAATTGCTTTTTACATTCTGAACACATTATAGCCACAAGATTTATGAATAAGAAAACACTAAATCTCAATCATAAAGACATCTTCAAGCTATGTGGAAAATAAGCACCTTTTATTCTGCGACAAGGAGCGTGGAAAGCATAATATAATGTGATGACCATTCCTAGTTGATAATGCACTTAGGTATCAATACACCGGTCATGTTCGACTGACAGAAGATATAGAGGATAGTCTCTGTAACACGGATAAATGTTACATACTGGGTATTAGGTGTAACAACTATTTACTAGGAATATAGAGTAATAAAATGTATAACTTGGAGTTTAGTGTAAATATGTAACTAGGGAGAGGGTGTAACAATATGTTACTAAAGTTGATATGGGTAACTATATGTTACAAGTTTATATTGCTGAGGGACATAACTATATTTTACTAGGTCTGTATTGCTCGGGACATAACTATATGCTACTGTAAATATGTTGTAACTAAATAAGTTACTTAGAATTTGATGTATATATGTTACTAGGGATTGGGATGTTACTTTGGTTATAAGAGTAAGTATATGTTACTAGGGATTGGGATGTTACTTTGGTTATAAGAGTAAGTATATGTTACTAGGGATTGGGATGTTACTTTGGTTATAAGAGTAAGTATATGTT